TTGTTCTCTCTCTGAATGGATATTTGCATGCAGGTTCTCTTTCCTATCACTTATTCTCAGTCAGATACATGCACTGTTAGTAGATACCAAGGTATAAATAGCATGTCATACCTCTTACTGACCAATATGCATCACACTAGGAGACTTTCAAAAACAAGACATTAGAAATACTTTACCGAATGGTCAATTTCAGCAATATTAAATATCACTAGACAAGATCAAATTGTACGGGAATAAACATTATGGACAATACCAAATACTTTTTTATTTTTATAGTCATAATTACAACCATTTTGGTTTCAGTCTTATAATTATCTTATACAGTACGTATGTTTCCGAGAAGCAATGATTAGATATTGGTGTATGTGCATTGTGAGTACCATTCCCATATATTTCATCCATATATATGCTTACATGATATGATGCACCAATACGAACAAGTGTGTAAAGTACCAACATGATTCGTAGCTGACATATTGATTAAATTCTTCATTCATATAGTATACATTTAATTTTATACATGTTACTAATTTTTCTTGTTAAAATATTTTAACTATAAGTACCTCTTTGTTATTTAATGATAACTTTGAGTTAAAAATATATAATGTTTTTTATAAATAAAGAAAAATGACCATTGTAGGTGTACAAGGAGTGTCGATATCCGACATGTGTCCAATACGAGTACGCAATCTTAATTGAAGTGTCCGTGGAACACCTACACGAAGAAAGCTGATTTGATCTTAAATATATACAAATTGGTGAGAAATTTTTTGATCAAGGGACGAGTATATTTGACCATGAAAGGAACATCAGGGTCCTAGTTCAGGGATCAAGTGCCATTTTAACAGGACCAAGTTTGTCAAGGAAACATCCCTAGCACTTCTCTTTGAAATAGTCTAAGAATACTAAGGAAGCATAGAAGTATCCATGGTACCTATCAAACACACTAACCATCGATCTGGTTTGAATTTATATCAGGATAACACTTTGCAACCATACTATACTTTTATTTCTCCTATTTTCTGTAAATATTCATCAAAACAAAATCTATTGTCAACTAATAACAGGCAATACGATTGCCATCAAAACATTGTATAGAGAACAACGTTACTTTGTCCAATTTTTATCATTTTCAACGAACATAAGTTCTAATCTTACCAAGAGATAAGTAAATTTTGAAAGGTGGCTTGAATGGCTGAGTCTCGTAAAGGCAGTACAAACAATACAGCCCTCCCACTCTATTTGGAAGAGAACCAGTTAGCATCATATAGCCTGCATTATAGCAAAACACCACCAATCAACTACGCCAAAAGCTCTAGAAAACTACTCCAAGTATAATTCATATAAAAGTCAAAAAAGATCACATTTCAATATAATCTGAACCTTTGAATAATGATAACCACATAATTTTTCTATAATCTAAACATCAAAAGCTCTATAGTGACACTATAATCCAACTTGATTGACAGACAAACAAGTTATGCCACGAAACTACAATATAACAATGAAGAACTCAAACTGCATACCGATGCAATGTGCATATAATGACTGCATAAAGCAACCCTGATTGGTTGATGGGCTAGCCTCAAACATATAAGAGAATTTTTTAGAAAGCCAAATTCTCTTGAATTCTGCAAAAGTAGTTGATCCGCCCTGCAAACCATAACAACAGCACAGGTATGTAAATATTATTACCAAACCCAAAAAATTAAAGAAGGAATCTAGTTTACGAGTAATACCTTCACAAAATCATTTATAAGCTCATCTATGTCTAGCTTGAAAGGCTTGAGGTCCATTGCTCTTTGAAGATTCTTGTACTTTTAACTGGCTAAAAGAGTTTAATTTCTTGATCAGGCTGACAAAAACTCGCCTTCACCATCCCTCTGACAAAGGCTGAAAACCCACCCCTACCATCTGCAGAATACACACGTATATTGTATTTTCAGCCCTTTAATTTATACTTTTCAATTTGTGATAGCATTGAAGGCAATTTTATGGTGCTATTCAAAAGAAAAGAAAAAAAGGAGTTGGGTAATTTTTAAAGCACAAGGGTTTGCTATTCAAAAAACAAAAACTAGGAATTTCAGAAATGGCCCTATTTAAACCGTCACGATTTTGGCAACGGCTAATGGAGTACTGTGGTAGTGGCGAGTTGACGGAGGGCCGATGTGGGGGATTTGCTATTATAATTAGGGATAATTGCA